ATTTAAAAGAAGGATAGATGAGGTGCTTAGGGACATGGTTTAGTGGTGGGATGTCAGGGTTAGGTTAAAGGTTGGACTTGATGATCTCAAAGGTCTTTTCCATCCAAAGTGATTCTATGATTCTATGAGGTGCTTTTGTTGCTATTTGCTGTTGTGGGCTCAGGCCAGAAAAGAGTCATCAAGTGCTGTTGAAGGGTGATGCAGAGCCAGGGCAGGGACATGTCATGAGCTGGGATGAAAACACGGACCTAAGACAGACACAGAGGGCCATGACAAGACCGCAGAGGCAGGGCAGAGACACAGCATGTGCAAGCTGGAGCTAGACCGTGGCACAGAGCCAGGGCAGTTCTGGAGCTGGCATAGGGATGTGACATGGGGGATCTCAGTGGGATGGGAACATCCCATCCCAATCAAGTCCAAGGTCCATTCAGGAAAAAGGGCTACCTATAATGTGAGTCTGAGGCCCACCCAAGAGACAGGGCCAAAAACAAGTCTGGAGATGAGGCTACTGACAATTCAGGTCTAGGGTCCATCCAGGAAGACTAGTCAGTAAGTCAGGACAGAAAGGAGCAGCTGAGCTCAGGGAGTCCCGTGCCAGTAAGCACACTGAACTGCCTCTCCACTCTCACCAAACATATTTCGTGTTTCTCTGGGTTGAGATGGCTCCACTGGAATTTCCCTGGGGTCCTACTCGGCCTGGAGAGTGAGGGTTTGGGGTTTGGTGCTGTACAGAGCTCCCACTCCACAAATGTTCTGAGCTTAGAGGGATCTTCCAGCATATGGTTGTGGATAGGTGGTCAGGCGATCGAGGGCTTTCCAAGCTGGAGCTGCACTGCGGTCCTGCTCAATCCTGAGAGGCAGGCTGTGGGCTGTGGTGGAGACAGAGCTGTAGCCCCGCATTTATTTGGAGCAAAGCATTGCCCAGCAGACAGCAGTCTGCCCTTATGCAGGGAGTTTCCCTACCTTGGCCCTTTCCTGTTTAAGAATCTCCCTAACCATCACCCCGCACAGACTCCTGACCTCACATTATACCACTGAATGCATTTTGCAACAGGAGACACTGCTTTCATAGGCCGTTTTTGCTCTTCCCAGCCTATGCGCTGTTGTGTCCTCTGCAGAACTCCTATACACTCAGTTTTTGGAAGACATTCTCATTTTTCTGCAAGATCCACCGTTTCGTCCTTCTGGTCCAGTAAGAGCATAGATTTTTGTTATTAAGCCCAAGTTTCTTCTTACAAGAGAGGCAGCTGATGAAAAATGAAGGACTAAAGAGCTAAGAGACTTTGCTATAATGAAGTACATCTGGTCTCCTGTGCAGCATCTGTGTGCTCAGTCATAGGAGTCTAGGGATGAACTTCTGCCTTGGCCTAAGGAAGCCCTTTGGTTCCCTAGGGGGATGCCTTCATGATGAAGCTGGGAATGGGTGCAAGCAAGTTGGGTGTCCAAAGAAACTCTTCGGCTTTCCTGGTAAAACGGAGCCACTCCCTAGAGCATAATATGAGGCTGAGGGAGCCAAAAGGAGTATGTGGGTACAAAAAAACCCCACTTCACACGTACACCACTGAGCCTTCGCAGGGTCCTACTGGAAGCAGAGCAGCTTTCAGAGAAGCTACGGGAACGCAGATGTCTTAACAGCAACGCAAGGGTCACCTGCCACACCTTCTCTGCGTTACTGCCCCACTGCGGTGAGCAGGCCAGATGAGAAATGAGGCATAAAATACTGCCGAGCCGGTTTTGTGTATAGCTAAAGGAGCATCTCATTCCACACACACACACACACCCCCCCCCCCCACCCCCCC